CAGCCTTTTCTCGATAGTCCTCTGTTATTTCAAATTCTTTATCATCAGTTATAGTGCACGCTCAGTTAGTCCACCCAAATTTAACCAAAATCCAAGCCAAATGATTAGAGTAACCCGCTATTGCCAACGCCTGAACAGGGATAATATAGTCAGTACATTATTCAGTTCAATACAATCCGAGAATCATTTACTCATAGTAATGCTGTCCCATGTATTCACTTTCTCCATAGCTTCTCTTAAAATTTATCTCGTGCTGCATTGCACGGGGAAATACATTTTTTAATTAGAATTTTACTAAAAATTTCACCAATTTTACTACTAATTTTACTATTTAAACACAAAATTCGTAACACTATTTTCGGCGATTGTTTAATGCTCAGATATTGTGGAGAATACTGTTTTGAAGATCAGATTTTTGCGTTTAGTTATGGATTGCTCTAAACCTGCTGTTAGTGATGTTGTAATTAAGTATCAAGAGATTTTAAGGGGAAATTTAAGGTGGGAGTTTTCAAACAAGTGTAAAAGTCTGGGAAATCCAGGCATTCCAAACAGATATTTTATGTATGAATTAACATGAGCGTATGAACTTTTTAGAGGATTTTTGGGTACTTACGTATTATCGCAACCAGGTTGCCGCTATTTGTCAGTTTGAGTAAAAAAGTATGAATAGAAAGAAAATCTACATTTATTAATTACAGATAATTTTTAATACAGTTTTTTTTTTTATATTATTTTGTTTTAAAATATAAAATAGCAATTAAACCCTTCCGGTTTTCGAATTTGAATAAGTTGCAGAATTATTTTTTCGGCGGAAATCTTTTGGTTATTGCTTTTAGCACTGATTGAAAACCGTATTCGCCATAACCATGTACACGTCGACTTTTTTTTATTTTACTTAAAAAAACATCCTAGAATTTCACAAAAATGGCATTGCGCACACTCTTGACTTTATCCATGTACACTGCTATTTTCTCATAAATTACAAAAATTTGCACGAAAATGCAGGAAAATTTTGTGAATCTCCACATGCTCTTTTTACAAAACTACGTATAACACGTAGGGTTGCCGTAAATAGGGTCGCCAAATTTGGGAATTTATGCGAATTTTGGCCTGGTTGCGTTAGTACGTAAGTACCGATTTTTGATGTATTGTGGATTATTGAAGGATAAAACTTAGGGAAAATGTAAGATACCATGCAAAGGTATCTTACATTTGGGAAAGCCAAGCAAAGGGGAGATTTTCCTGCATTGTTTTTAAAATTACATCCTTTTAACCTTAATCATTTTCATTAATCATTCCTTAGTATTTTTTTCTTTTAAAATTGTGTATAATAGTCATAAATTTATTTCTATTATCCACGATTTCTGGTAAAATCAAGATGGCCGCCATTTTTGAAACACGGAGCTTCGTCAAAAATCTGGATGGCAACCATGTTTCAAACCAACGTATTTCATGTGCTTTAGCGCCAAAACAAATTCGCCAAACATTGAAGGTGGACTATACTGAAGCTGTTCCATTATAGTATCAAAATAAGCACTGCGCGTCAATTCTAATGTTTCTGCCTTTTTCTTGAACAAATAAAACACATTTCTGCTTTTTCATAATCAAGATTAATATCATTTAGAAGTTCATCTAGCCTTTTATATGCTTTAGTAAAAGCTGAACGTTGCACAGTTTTGTTTCTTTTCATCACTTCCATTTTGTTTTAAAAGTTTTAAAATATTCAGAAACAAATTAGGCTAGAATAGTATTTTAAACTTCAGTAAAACAATAACCAATAACTTCAAAACAGAAGTATAAGGTTATCAATTTACCCTATCTATTCTTTCATCCGACATGTTTCCAACAAACACGCTCACCCGGGGGCACCAAAAATGTCGTGAACATCATTGTGAGTTTAAGCAAAAATAATGAGCGGTTTGTTAAAAATTAGATTATATGAAAGATCTTTTAATATATAGCATTTTAATACTATTTAACACAGTGTAATAGGTTACTATTTAGCACAGTGTAATAGGTTCATTTTACAATATGTAACATCCACAATATAACATTACTACGGAGTTCGGTCATCCATCTTTCTGAACAACAATCGCTTTCTCGTTGCCATTCCATAACAGAGAAACTTACCTTTCATCCTTTGATCGTGACGTGACAACACTCTTACGATGCATCAGTGCCTGTAGCACATGTTCCAATTGCTGCAAGTAGAGGCCTGCCGTGATGGTTTGCCCCACTGGCAGGGGCTCATAGTGCACCACTTGACGTCTAGTCAACCAGATACAGATAATGATCTTGCATGGGAGGAGAGAAGGTCTTGCAGTGTGAAGCAGAGGGTCCTGTAGTGGCATCCAATGTTTGGAATGCCTGGGTGCGTCATACTGGACCCAGTTTTCATCACTGGTGAGTACTTGATCAAATATGGATACATTGCATGTAGAAACAGTATTGTACCAGATGGCGCTGTGTGCGCTTGAATTCTTCGGACTAGTGCAGAACCTTGATGATTGCGAAAGATGTAACACCATCACGAAACATTAACCAAAGTTTATATGTGCTTCTTTTTGTTGTAAATGTATTTAATTGTGTCATCAATGAAATATAGAGAAAATGATAAAAGGTGAGAATGCGTCTGACAGGTAAGTGAGATTTCTTTACATTTTGATTTGAATTGAGTTTTAGCGACAAAGAATGTATATGCGTGTTTACATTGCAGTGCCGAGTAAGCAATGACAAAACAGGCAGCGACACGCTGTTGCTTGTTTGCATCAGATAGTGTGTGGGGTATCCACTTGCTCAGCTTGTATGCCTTTCCTTATGCGGTGCAAATTGAGTCTGATCGTCACTCTCTGTGGCTGCTTTCGGGGCCTCATTCACTAAGAGACATATCCCCTGGCCTGAACTTCTGGAACCATTGCTTAGCGGTTCATTCGTTAATAGCATCATAACTGAAGGCCTGGCAAATTCGGTGACCTGATTGTGCTACTTACAGGCCCACATTAAAATCGTACAGCAAACAACTCTGAACAAGCGCCTTTGACACGTCCATTTCAAATAGTCGCTGTGGGAGTTGTATTTGAAGTACCAATGCGACGTGCTTTTATACTCTTGGTCAATGTCCAGACTCCCATCCTAACCACTTCATCACCAAGTTTGGTGACTATTTTTATGTTGGAGTTCACTCTTTCAATGTCATATCAGAAAAGGCAAGAACTTTTCTGGTTACCTTGTATTTATGAGATTAGACTTTTAAAGACATTACATTAATTGATATTTATGAGATTAGACTTTTAAAAAGACATGACATTGATTGATATTAATGTGATTAATTACTTGTTATATAAAGGGCAAAAGGAATTTGTAAAGCTATGTAGCTATTCAAACTTAAAACTCGAGTTTTCACAAAAATCCTTGATGAATTTTAGATCAGAGTTAGAACTAGATTTCTCACTATTTTTGAAATGGCATTAAGTTTTCTCTCATTCAGCCCCACATATTTTTATAAAACTACTTTTTCAGCTTGAACTCTAATTAAAACCAAATATCGCTCAATGTTGAAACATGTTGAAGATGCTTTATGTCCAGCAGTGTGGAATACCGTATCAACATTTAATTTGTTATGCAGCAGAAAACAAACAAGTCTGCTTCATTAGAATTTTCTTTAATTTTTGTTTGCTTAAAATAAATTCTAAAATTACTTTTTTATATGTATATTGTTTATCAAAGGAGTAAATTATTTATGGGGTGATATTTATTTTCCTATCTTTAATTTATATTTAATATCTGGGGTTGTGAAAAAAATTTCAGTGATAAAAAGGGGTCATGAGGGAAAAAGAGTTTAAGAAGCTCTGCTGTAAAATATGTGTAAAATATCTTGTGCTGTATCTCATTCCTGTATAAATATGTGTAGAATGTTGTGGGGAGATTTCTTTTGGCATCTCCACACCCACTCCATGCCATCAGCTGAAAAGAGCATTTACACACATTAGACAAATAGGTAGATATAGTACTACCATACTAACTGTATAGCTGCATACTAGTTTTGGAGACATCTGGGAAGACAGAGCTGAAGATCTCCTACCCCTTCTTCTGTCAACAAACCTCCCGAAAGAGCATTTGAGTACTCTTCTGTTATCAGGACCGAATTGAGAAAGGTATGTATGTATGTGTTCATGTATAGGTGTACATATGTATATGTGTATTTACACAGGGTGATTCGCTACCAGACTGACAAACTTGCAGGGTGTGTAGGAAGTACAAAGATGGCTGGGAATCGCATAGGAATGCAGGGTCGCAAATGCCGTAATTGCAAGCTATTGTGCAAAGAAACAGAGAAAAAGAACAGAAATAAGCAACATATAAATGGGACAGAAAACATTTTATTAAAAGGTTGTACTACAACAGGTTTTCGAAATTATGAGCTGCGGCCTTCTGGGAGGCTTGAAAGCAATGCTGCATGGAATTCTGTATGTTCTGGAAGATTCCTGGATAGCATATAATCCAGAGAATTTTATACAAGCATACATGAGCACATACATCCATCCATACATTTCTGAATCCGGTCTCCAGATAAAACAGAAGAGTACTCTTCTTTTCTTTTAAGAAAAGTTTCACAGTTTGTTTTAATAAGGATCTCTCAGTTTTTAATGGTTTTGTCAATCGCTCCGGCATCAAAATGCTATAGGTAAAGTATTTTTCTTCATCGATAGTATTCATTTCAGTTGTTTAGTGCAAAATAATGTTTTGGTGATGATGTATCTATTGTTTCTTTGAGAAATTGTATGTGGATTATCTGTTACTCAGTACGGTATTCATGAACTGTAAGAAAAATTACACATATAGAATACCTCAGATGACTAGCAATTTTGGTTTATTGATGTTCTTGGTACATGAATGATTTTTTATGTGCATATGTATGTAGAGTATATTGAATAGTTACAATATTTATTGTGGCTGATATTTAAAATTTTAGTAATTTTACAATTTTTTTTATTGATTAGGCTGGTTGCTAGGTTTCTTTCATTGGAAAACGTTTTTGTATCAACTAATACTTAGTTTAACAACAGTAGCATTTGGTTTATTGAATATGCGATTCTATACTGGTAAGTTTATTTTATATATAATTAGAAATTCAAAATGGAAGCATTTTAACTACATTTGGCAATTTTACATATTTTTAAATTTTAGTAAAAGAAAGGCCTTTAAAAATTCATAATTATTTTAATGTTATTAATAATAAATAAATGATAATTCATCTGTAATTTAAACCATCTGTAATATAAAAATAGAATATAATATTGATTTACATTGAGTGTAATTATTGAAAATCTTTAAGTTGAAAATAAGTTGTACTGTACTTCACTTATTTTATTTATTTTCTTTTCAGTGGAAAAACATATAAGTTCTACAAGATTTGAAAAAATTTGTAAGTCTTTGAGTCCACACTGTTTGCAGCACTTTTTTGCAACAGCAGTACTTGGAGGCATTGTTGCTTATTACTGCAATGCAGTTTTTTATAATTTTTATATACAGCATAAAACTTTCATTGGATCATGGTAGGTATTAAATATGCCACGATACATTAATGTAATATGTGTATAATATTATATATAATGTTAAACAAAAAAATATAAAAGAAGTTATTATTATTTAAAGTAATGAATAAGATGTGTATAATATCAAGTAATATTAAACCAAAAAATAAAAATGAGCTAGTATTGGGTCCCCAGCATTTTTGCCTTTAAGAGCACATTCTAGATTATCTGTTGGACGGCAGGCACCGTTTACTTTTTCAAGGTGAGTTTATAGTTGAATAAAGTTACTAATACATGCACATAAAAAAGGAGATCAGTGGTCTCATTTCACTTTGTGCCGGTATCTGTGTTGGATGTAATATCTATTTCATTAAAAATGAGAAAACTTTCACATAGAATTTTATTGAAAACTATAACCTTTTTTTGTGATTGCAGAACAGCGGGCACATGTTAAATGATTGTTGGGTACCATGGTGCCTGCAGACATAGGATTGGAACCCCCGTATTAGTTAAAGTAAGGAATTATGCCCTGATTACACTAAAAGCTGGAAGTAATCTGAGGGTAATTAATACAGAAAAGAAAAGTGTGTGGTGACTGTTGCTGTTGGTTAACTGAGGTTAACCACAGCTTACAATGATAAAACTTGCCTGCCAGCTGGGCATACTGTTACCTAAATGATAACACATTAAAAAAAGATGAAACTAAATAAAACTAAAATGTTTGCAGGTCTTTTTTTCTATTTCCAGAGAGAAAATTTCCTAGCTTTGCCAGCAGGCTGTGTTCAACCTTTATTCAAAATAACATATTACAAAACAAAAAAATGTAAATATTTAAAATAATTTTCTTTTTTCTTTTTTGGGGGGTCAGGGGAAAAGAAATTATTGAAATACAAAAATTTTGAATCTTCTTGATTCTTTTTTGGTGTTTGCAGGCTGCATAATAATGGTAGTATAAGATAAAAAGACTGTATAATGAGCAATCTGTGGGGAAAACTTCTCACAAGACCCGAAAACAATCATACGCTAGAGAAAAATCCCAGCAGAAAACACCCAGCAGTCCATATTTGTAAGTTTTATGAAAGCTACCTAAGCAGTACATATTATATATATGTAATGATTTAGAAGTTGTTTACATAGAAATACATAAATATATGGTTGCAATCATGCTTTAACCCTTTGACGCACGCAATATTATTTTTATAATTTTTTTAACTAAAACTCTAGAAATTGAATATTATGATCCTAGAGACAAATAATATATGAATTTAAAAAAATCTACTCTTGCCCATTGTTCTGGGGTTGGTAGTTGCACTGTGAAACCACCGCGTGTCTAGGACTTGAAACTTACCGAGGTAAGTAGGAAAAAAAAACTTACCTTTCTCTGTGCGTGTTTCCAATAAATGACGAAATTTACGAATTTAAAACAAAATGCATGTAGGAATTGCATATATATATATATATTTTTTACATTATTTTACAAAGTAAATCGTCAGAAAAAATTAAAAAATAAACATTTATGTAATTTTTCTATAGCAGTGAAAGTACCTACATAATAAGGACGTTTGGCTACATGGATTAAAAAACTCAGTAAAAATAAGGATAAAAAAAGACTCAGTGTTTTTTTTTTTTTTTTTTTTTTTTTTTTTTTTTAAATTTCAAAGAACAAATATTTTTTGTGACATTATTTAAAGCATGTTTTTGTCTTTTTGGTACATGCATGCCCACATCGCACGTTTCGCCACATGTATCTTCTTCTATGAGGTTTCTTCCTTGTGCTACAAAATGTACACTGATTGGATCTAAATATCACTGGTATATGTCCAGCATTATTTAGTTTCTTTTCATCTGGCACATGAAATTTGTGGTTTTTTTTATGTTAATGAGAAGGGGCATGGTCTTTTTGGCTTTGATGCGGATCATTCGTTTCCCATTCATACTTATTTTATTCGTATTTCGTCCCAAAATTTTCAGAAAATATTTTTGATTTCAATAAAACTTTATGTGATTTCTATTTTTAATTACAGCAGAGTATATGTATATTAAATTTAAACCACAGGAAAGAATTTATGAAATCACAATACTAGCTTGGGGAGCAAGTGTGTTGAAGTTGCTGGAAAAGAAAGACCTTTTTACTGGGCAGGTTTATGTATTGTTTAGTAATAAAATAACTCTGTGATTTCAAAACCCCTTATCTATATCCGGGTAAAAATAAACATTCCTATTCGAGAAGCAAGCAAACGCCATTGTGAAGAGCAGTGGTTTCAAGGCGCGACCACCGAGCCTCTAAGAACATTGTGGCACAATGCTCTAGTGGGGCAGTGGTCGCATTCTGAGACCACAAAGCAAATGCCACACATATAGAGGGTTGTTTTTATATATGCAGTTTAATTATTGCTTTTTTTATTGCTTAAGATAGAAATCATGATGTGAGATGAATAACTTTTGAAATTTAAAGTTATTTAAATTAATAAAAAGGAAGTTATTTTGTCTCATTGAAAACGAATTTTAAAAGGCATCCGATTTGAAGGACTAAGACCTAAAACATGTATGATTCTGAAGTCATTTTGTGTTATTTAGAGGTAAAAAATCAGTAATCAATTGATTTTCACTCAAAAATTTCGGAAGGAAGAGGAGAAAAAAATTCAAAAATTGGTGGTTTCAGGGCGCGACCACCGCACGTCAAAGGGTTAACAATAGTACTAATTTAACCTTTTTTTAAAAATTATTCTTGAGAAGCATATTTTTAATATGAATTACACATCGTAATGGGCACAATCTGTGTTTCTCTTCTTGATTACATTTGCGCTTTTTTCACACCTTTATTCAAAATAAAATCGTTGAAATAATTTATTCCAATACAGAAATGAGCAGAAGGTGGCAAACAAGCTGACATCACAGAAATGAGAGAGAGATAATGTAGCATGTTTAACATCAACACTTGGTTAGGAATGATTTAATTTTGTTTCACATGTAATCCTCATTGGCTAATAAAAAGTTTTGGCTCCCAAATTGAAATCTTTATTGGCTGAAGCTTTTATGTAAATGTCTGCTTCATTAGTGTTATGCAAGAATCATGTGACATGGATTCATTTTGAAATTATGTAGTTTAAAGTGATTTATCATTAACAATTGCTGTTTTTAAGGCAGAAAGGTAAAAACCCAAATTAAAATAAGTTAAGGGAGTATTGAAAATTGAAGTTAGAATTTTGCTATACATATTTTTTATTTTACACACACAGATAAAAATATATATGAATCCCATAAATTATATATTTCAAATTCTATATGTTACATATTTAAATCATAAATTTAAATAAAATTTTAAATATGACCTGAATTGCAAATGCAAAGAGCTGTACTTTTTTTTTTATATATGCTGTTTTATATTTGTATTTGTTTTAAACTGCCCTTTTAAATATGTATCATTATTTGAAATTAAATTTTTGAAAAAATTTCTTACATTGTTAAAATTGTAACCAATTAAACAAAATGATATAAAATATGCCATTATGGTGGTAGTTCCTTTCTGATTGTTTATTGTAGGTGTGATGAACCTGAAAAAAGCTCAGTCTAAATTGTTAATAATAAAAATATACTATTTCATCTAAATTTTTGATGCTGTTTCCTTTCAATGTAAAATTTGTGACGAAAAGTATAACTATCAGATAATACTTAAATTAAATTGTGAAATACAGACTAACAAATGTTACTTATGGAAAATAAATTGTATAATGTATATATACCTGTGACTGTGTATAACTCTATATGTGAAACATGTTTTTTCCTTTGTCAGCTTTGTTCTAGATAATGATTTTGAAAACTACTTTGTATATGGTCATGGCTGTTACTCAGGAATCATGTTCAGTTTGAAGTACTTCATCTGCAATCTGTATTTAGTGAAATTTACTCTTGAACAGGTAATAAAATAGCCCCTCAACAAGTTTTTCTCTGTGTGGTGATGTAATTTGGACTGAATTCAGAATTTTTAACTGTTCTAGGGGAACATTAGTATTATGGCATTAAGATAAAGTTTTTTTTTATTTTTTTTTTTTTAATTTTTAGTTTTTAAGAAACATATACAATATATCTTAATTTGCACTGCTTATTTATCACCTCATAATTAACACACAAACTCTAGGAAAAAGGTTTTTTTCTGCAGCATCCTGGGTGAATTTTTTTTTAGCTTATGACACCATATGTTTGGAGGGATAATAATAATACTCACCATGCTTTACTTAGAAAGATTACCATCGGAGAACATTTACAAAAAATCTGTTCATTTTTATCCTTAAAAAGAATGAATGGGGAGGTGAATTGCTGGTAAAATAGAAAGCAGTCCTTTTTCACTTCCTTGTACGAAGTAAAAAGGAAGTATTGTAATCGCGAAAAGTTTCAGGCAGCATATTTCAATGAAAATATCCATTTTGACCACTATCGAATGCAATTTAACGATGTTTTTGCGTGATATCTGTACGTAAGGACAGAATAAAATACTCTTTTCCTTCAAAAAAATTATAAAACTGCTTTAAAATTAATTCTGAAGAGAATTTTTCGTGGCGTCTGTACGAACGTATGTACGTACGTATCTCGCATAACTCAAAAACGAGTAGCCTCAGAACGTTGAAATTTTGTATATAGGACTGCTATAACATGTAGATGTGCACCTCGTATTTTGGTTGCAATCGGCCGCACCAAACGTATATAAATATATTTATACTATATATATATCCACTCTGTTACCTTGGCTCAGTGATCTCAGTTTCTTTACTCTTATATGTTTGTAAATTGTACATTTTTTGCTTTAAAAATGATTGAATTATGTTGTTTTTATCTTCCGGTTAAGGATTTTATGTCTTTAGTAAATCTATGTGCAATATTTTTAGAATTATCAGCAATTTTAAAGTTGTTTAATTGCCACTAAGCCTTTTTTAATGGCGGCCATTGATGTTTACATTTGAAACAGGAGATTAGTGGATTTGTTGCCAATCTAGAGAAACTTAGCTTCACAACAACAAAGATAACGCATTCATTTATTATTGTCAATTAAATCATGCTTAATTCTTTCTGAAATTTTTCGAGGAAATAAGGAAATAAGTGTTTGAGATTTACTTCGTAATTTTTAATATAGATATTTTGAGTTTTTATGTATTTTTGCCTTCTCGCAAAGTGAGAACTGAATTAATTACATGAGAAATACTCAATCGTCTGTGAAAAACTGTTTCTTTTTTGTTTTCTTTGCTTAATTTCTTTTAAACATCATTCTAGCTTTATTATTATTATTGAATAGAACATGTGGCAACGATTAGATAATTCTATTCTTTAAATGATATCAATTTTGTGCATTATGAGTTATAATATGAACGAAATATACAACTGTTATATAATTATTGGATTATATAACAGTTAACTTAGTTTCTGTTATAAAATTATTATATAAGTTAACTGTTATATAATTATTAATACTGTTAAGTGAATCTAGCGTCAAAGTGTCGCTATGGTAAACAAATACTAGAGTGAATTTTAAAGAATTCATTTATTCCATTGTGGTTTATGCGCTGTCGGCGAAGTAGATTTAATTCAATCCAATAAGTTTAAATGAAATGCAAGAAAAAATGCATATAATTTAATATTCCAATACAAGGAAGTCATGTGGTGTACACATCAGATTTTTTAATTTTAATAAAGGAAGTCATTATTATGAAAATAAAAAAATGAAACTGATGTTGAATGTGTTATAGAATAATAAAATTTCTATGACCTGTAACTTGTGCTTGATGATCAGGAAGTAAGAAAACAAAACATTCTTCTAAATTGTCCAAAGATTGGGAAAGCAGAGCAATTCAAGATTTTGAAAAGATTAACTGATAATCTTGTCCCAAGCTTATGAAAATAAATTAATGTTTCAAAAGGAAGCAAATAGTTACAGCCACTAAAAATAAGATGAATGTCCTTGAAAATATTAGTTAACATCAACAGAGAGTTAACAAGTTGAAAAGGAGTAAAGGTCGTCTTCTGTGTAATAAGGAGCTTCAAATAGGTATTTGTTGATCTAAATTTTAATATTACCATTTTCAGTTTTCAGAGCTGTATCAGTGTAATAAGATAAATAAACTTATAATTTTAAGGTAAATCATGCATATTTTTAAATATTAATCATCTTCATATTGTACAAAATTTTGAGAAATTTTAATTCTGTATACAGTAATATCCCAACTTATGCTATCCTGATTTACACAAACTCAAAGTTATATGATTCTTTATATCCCATTCTTCTGGTTTCCCACGCAATGTAGTGTTGTTAGAGATATAAGCATTGTTAGAGAATTTTTTAATTAAAATTTCAAAAGGGAGAAAAAAAACTTAAATGATGTCTAGAAGAAAATTGGTCCATTCTTTTCAAAAGTGAAATGAAAAACAATGCCATGAAGCAATCAAGTCATTAATGTAATAGAAGTTTTTTACCTTGTCAAGCAATTAGATTTGGAAGCTGATAGTGATAGAATCAGCAAATTGTTGGTGAAGAGCAATTATTTATGGAAATGCATGCACATATTGCTACTGAAGAAGCCCGACACCTTGGATCTAATTTGATCAGGAAAATAAATTATAGTTTCAAGCTTGACAGGTCTCTTCAGTTGAGAAAAAAGAGAAAATTTGAAGAACATATACTGTAATGAGGAATGCATTCAGAGCTACAAGACAGGGAATAAAAGAAATATTATGTGGCTATGGAGAAATTTTATGTGGTAAAACAAAAAAAACCTTCGAGTTGTCAGACAAATGTGTTAAATTTTATGAAGCCACTGACTTCAAAATAATTTTCATATAGCACATTTATTTTAATAAAATTTTGTGTATGAAAACTATATTCTTTATTACGTACTTCTTTAATAAGCAAATTTTTTTTTAGCTGTTTGTCCTATTTAACTAAAATTCATTGACTTAATGCATTTATTGTCAGTCACACCTATTGTATAACTTCAGAGTATTACTGGATATATAAATTTCCATTTAGGATAGAGCATTTTTACAGCCATTAAAAATAAGATGAGTATTGTGTTTATTTTATTGTGAATACTGTCTGGTACAAATCTCACAATTTTAACTTTGGAAAATTTTTTTAACATCAATCTAAGAAGGAAATACTAAATAACTTTTGATTATTATTGTACATAAACTTGTCATTCTTTTTGAAATTATATTTGGGTTCAATTTCAAGTAAGGGGAAAATTTTAGTTTTTTTTTTTTTTTTTTTTTTTTTTTAAAGATTTCCAATGTTTATTTATTTCTTAAGATTTATTGTATTACAGTTTATCAAATTAAAGTTTTAGACTGATAGCATTTAATTTTTTTTTTTTAATTTAGGAGTCAAAAGTTCAACAGATCACATCACGCATAACTGAATTGTTAAAAGACTCTGTTACTTGTGTTTTAAAATCAATTCATTGGTACTACCTTTTATTTATTATTTTCAGTAAGTGTTTTTTAAGGAAGGAAATTTATATTTCATTTGCCTTTGAAATAAATATGCACGATAATAAAATTAAATCTATTTCAACTGAATCCTGTTTTTATACATGTGTCTTGTTTCATTTTAGGGCCATTCTTACAAAATATTTTCTCTGTAGTAGGTGTACAAATGAGGTTTGAATTCTTATTTTATTCTAAAACATTTATTTATTTCATTTAGTTCTTAAATTTTACTGGGCTGATATATCTGTGTAACTTAATAAAAGGATCTAAAATATAACTGCTTTTCTTTCACTTTTTTTTTTTTTTTTTTTTTTTTTGTAGCTCAAGTGAATATCTGATATATAGTTTGATCCAACCAAAGTTATTTTTGATATCCTTGATTACTGGAGTTGTAATTTTTTTTAACTGGAGCCTTTATTTGTGCATATTCAATGCATGTGCAGCAGAAGTGAGTCTTGTTTGTTTTTCCTAGATAATTACACAAAAGTCCTTGATTTTATAAACAGTCTAGAAATTATAATGATTTAAAGCAACTTATTACTTTTTTCCTGGACCTTTGCCACAAAGCTGAAATTATTCTTGAAAATTAGTTTTCTAATTTTTCTTCATTCTTGAAAATTGGTTTTCTAATTTTTTCTTGCTACTAGATTTATTTTCAATTATTATGGCTTCAGTATGCATCATGTTAATGATTATAAAAATGTTTATATGTAAAAATTTTCAAGTTTTTTTTATATAATGTTTTGTAATTTTTTCTTTCTATAATAAATGACATGCATTTCATACTAAGATGCTTTGAAATTTGTTACATTTGTTCATTTGATTGCTATCCATAGCAATTTCTGATAGTGTGTGTATTTGTTTTCCTTCTGTAGCGATATGTGTTTGCAATAGATGCTCCTGTAAAAGGTGACAGAAAGCTGTTGAGCAAAGAACTGACATGTTCTGATTTTGATCTACTAAGGGTTAGTATTTCTGTATTGATGACACAATTTTTAGCAAACATAAAATGCATTATCTTGGTTTGGCATTTGAAAAGATAATAGATGTGTTGTCTAGCAATTGGTAGGTAAATTATTTAGGGCATCAAAAATAGTTTTTAATGGGAAAAATGTAATTAAATTAACTTTTATTAGTTAAAAGAAAAATGAGGCTTAATTATTTAGAAGCTCAGATACAAATGATAATACTGTTTGTGAATTTAATATTTATTAAGTTCATGCATGTCTGAAAATAGCTTTTAATTTTATGAGTATTTTTCAGTGTGACAGTTTTTCAGTTAAACAGTACAACATTTAAAGTAACCAAAGTATATACTTGTAATTTTTTTGTTCAAGATTATTAGTCTAAAGGGGCTTTATCCCTGAAGGACTATTGTTTCTGTTTTGCGATTTTGCGTTGAATCACTTTTCAAACTGTTGCCAACAAATGTTAGAGTCCTGCATTATATTTGAAGAAATTAAATAATAAAAAATCTGCATAAATGTATGTATATTTCTCACATAAAACAACGGTACATAGAGCGACCAAATTTTGAATGATGTAATCTTCCTACGAATATGGGCATGTGGAAGACCAAATTTGAAATTAGGAATTTGTTTTATTATCAATTTCATATTTTGTAAAACTTTAAACGAATTTTTTAGAAACAAGCTCGACGATTTATAAAGTGAGCAATGGCAACACGCTACGGGAGGGGGGGACCTTTTTATCTCCATCGCGCTGAACTGTGTATCGGAAATTCTAAAGATATGCTCATTTTAAAATTTTGAGACATTGCTATTGAACTGAATTTTATGGTTTAAGTGCAAATAACATTATATTTAATAAATAAAGAATGTTAAAAAAAAGCCCCTTTGGACGTAATTTAAAATCTGAAACCTTTCAGATTTTTTTTTATGATTATTATTTTTTATCTGCCTCATATGAATCACTCCTAATAAGGGGTCATGTTATCCAAAATGGAATATTTGGCAGGTGCGGCAGTGAGACGTGTGATTTTGAAATCTTCACCCACGATACGAGTCTATTCGTAGCAATCTAAAAGGAAAACAACATGAATTTACAATGCTTGCAATCTTTCATTTATATGCAATAATATATATCTTTCATTTTCTTCACATTTGTAAGATAAATTACAATTTTTTAATGCTCTTTTTTATAGTGTTGTATTCTGTAGTCAGTCTATAGAACTGTTCAGGTACTGATATTTAATTTGATAACTAGTTGTTATAAGTTTTAATTTCAGTGCAAACTTATTCTTTCATGTATAATTCATTAGCGTCTGATAGTTTAAATCAATTATATTTAGGTACTTGCATATTATTGCAATTACCTGAGAAGTTTCCAAATTTTTAGTACATTCCAAAATCTAGGAACCATGCATACAACCATTCTTCAAGCAACCATGTTAATAACAGTCCTTCATTAAAGAAACATCACCATTTTATTATGTGTTGTATCTGTTGTGTTTTAAGTTCCAGCACTTTTTATTGACAAATCGGGGTATGTTTTGCCAAATTCAATTTGAATACATGCTGTTGCAAAATTTGCCAGCAGTGAAAGGAACTGCAATAAACTTTCTGCGGGAACACAGTATTTTGCTTCAAATCAATAAACAGTATTTTGCTTTTCAGTTAAAAGGGAAAAAATTGTTTTAATCTATTGTTCTAATATCCCAAATCTATGAGACTGATTTTTCTTTCTCAGTTACGTGTAGTCCGTTTATCAATGCTGTGTATTTTTAAAATTACATATTTAGAACAAAAGGAGCAAATATCTGTGTTATACTGGTGCATGGGAATGAATTTAGTCACAAATAAGTTCGAATGTTTTGTGTGGAATAATGAGATGCATATAATAGATAGCCAGTCCACCGTGTTGAGTCTATGCAGTCCTCTTATGTTATTCTGTTAACAGATTACTAGGAAATTCGAAAATTGAGCAAAGAAGTCAGGGAATTTCATACGACAATCCCGAAAACAGCGAGTTTTGCGCCAGTGTTGGAAGCGTTCACTTTGTTGGCGAATTATGCATCACATAAGCGTCATTCGGACAGCTGAGACACCAATCAGATTGTCTTTTAGAAAGGCAAAGCAAGTTTCTAGCAACTTTGGTTTACAGTAACCTCGAGAGTTGAGAGACTCACATGCGTATGTGCAATGCATGTTGAACTAAAAAAAAATAGATTTCCATTCTCGTATGAAACAAAATTGATTTAATCCCATAGTACACACAAGATTTAGTGACAGTTTTAGAAACAAAATTCCCCATTAAAAATATAGGTATAAAAATTAATTTTCCTAATAACACGTTCCCTGCCGCGTGGGGCAACTTTCCGTTCAAGCCTTTGCTATTATCATTGTAAAAAGAAGAATTTTTTTTTAAAATTCATTATGCAGTCAATTATGGGCATCTTAATACTAAATGCCCTCATTTAAAACTGATATATGTACAATAAAAAAATTATATGTGAGAATGCAACTTGCTTGGCATAGTAATGTTTAACCAGGTATTTGTTAAACTAATTCCTAGAAAAATTAATTTATTGGTTTGTTGTGTTATGCATGTTAAACTATACAACCTTTCCTTGATAATTATGATTTTTGAGCTATTTCAATTATTGTAAGGCATACGCCAGAAACAAAATAATAAAATGTAAAGCGTGGGGCGTATTCGCCCCACGCTTTACGCACGTATTCGCCCCACGTGTGCCTGAACAGGAAGTCTTCAAAAAACGGCTTGGCAGGGAACGTGATAAATAACACATAAATAATATAACCATAATTTACTTTTTATGAAGTGTTCTGATTGGTGATAGGGATGTGGGGAAGACGAAGAAAGAACATCGGTTCTCTTTTTGAATTTTTCGAACGATCCAGGGCTTGCCTTAATGCCATCTCATCTTCAGTCGAGGTACCTGGTGTTTTTTAGAGAAAGTCCAAGTATAGTTTTTAACCTTAGCGCAAATTATGGCTTCTGACACCAAATCATCGTTTAACTTCTCTTTAATCCACACCAACAACAGCTTCTGAACATCTAAGAGTTTTGGAAGTAACGGTAACTCTTTTGGCCACATCAAATTAATTAATTTCTTCTTTCTCCTTCAGAACAGTGCAGATGATTTCGCTAAATTCGTCACTCTTACGCCACGCTTATGTTTATCTGTGATTTCTTTCTTAATTTCAATGATCATGGCTTCCCTCTTTTTCTTTGCAGCACTATCTGAGGCAACAATCTTCTTGGCAGGCATCGTGAAATAATTATTTTCACGTTAAATGTAATAAACAATTGACTCGTGCTGATGAAAAAGAAGACAATGCCTCTACTCATAACAACTGGCTATTTTAATAGTGAATATGCTATATAACAAAAAAAAGGGGGGGGGTTGATTGTGGATATATCTGCAGAATGCCTCAAAAAAATCATCAAAATTTTGCCATTTGTTTTTTCAAAGTTTGATTTCATGTCAAAATATGTTAGAAAACGTAATATATATCTTAAGTCATGATTTCAAGGTATGAGAATTTCTCGAAAGCACAATTTGAATTTCATCATGCTTTTGAGATCGAATTTTGTCAATTAGGCCAATGAATAGAATAAAGAACTGTTCAACCTTTTTTTTTTTTTTTTGATTGGATGTATCTGTATTTGTAACCAAAAGACTCCACACTTGCAATAAATTTATGAATTCAAGCATGTGTAGTAAATGTTCTAAAAATGTGAATATATTTTATATTTCAGCAGTTTACTGTTTTAATTTTTTTTTTTTTTTGTATCTTTAGTATTTAGCAGTTTTAGATCTACGACTGTTAGCACAGTATGATTCCAAAAGAAGGCAACAAATTTTTGCCATTAGTCATCCTGGTAAGTTACTTTTTATTGTTATTATTGCAGTCAAAAGTCGTTAATTCGGACACCCATAATCCGGACCTCAAAGCTAAAAACTTTCTATGCATGCGGCGCGTTCACACATGCGCATAGGCGTTAACGCGTGCACAAGACCTTTACGACTGCACATATGCGTGTGCACAATCGCAGAATACGTTTTTGCATGCGCGTTTTATGTATAACAGACGTTATAAGCTAAAATTATCTAATTATCTATTTCAGTTAATGTTGATGATTGCGTTGTTCCCAAATCTTCGAATTGGATCCGGCTTATTATTTTTTGCAGACTCTAAGAGCAATTTTATAAAAGTAAACTTGAACTTTCGATTATGTCAAATAGAATTTCCGATGCTGGAGCTCCCAAAGAATCTACAAAATGAAAGTATGTTTCGATGTCCATCAAACAAAAAGTGGAATTGCTGCAAAAAAATGGATAAGACATGAAGAAGTGACAGAGAGGTTAGTGTGAAAACGAAAAAATTTCGATTGACAAGTTAGTCGGTATTCTCGGCACAGCAATTACGGGGACTTGAACAGCGGAACTTTGTAACTGAAACAAGATTATGTCTGTTTATAGAATTAAAGAGAAAGTATTATCACATAAAACGAAGGCAACTAAACAACTTACATTGAAAAGAAATGTTTAATAAAGTAAACAAATAAATATTAAGCTTTTTTTTGTAAATTTGTATTTCATATTTTTAATTTTAGAATTTCTGCATGCCATCTTACGAGATTTAAACTGATGATCTATAATCCGGAATCGCCGAAGTCCGAGTCCGGATTAACGACTTTTGACTGTATTAATTTTTCGGGTTTAGTCACATGGATAAAAAAAAATTAAGATATATAAGTTTTTAGTAGCAAAGTATCTGTCACAAATATTTATGCTGCCCTGATCAGTATAGTGGCTAGCATTGCTAGCTGCCATATTGGAGAACAGGGTTTGAATCCCGAAGAAGACTTGGATGCTTGTAAACAAATAGCATCTGTGCAACATGGGGACACCTAAAATAAACACCAAGCCAAAAATCCTCTCGAGTTACATGGTAGGAGGGGAAGAGTGGTGGGAATATATTGAATATTGCTTATATGTCTTGACAATGTTTAGCACAAATGGTAAACGTAGAGAGGATGATGCCCTGAGTGATAATGATAATATTTTAGCATTTGTAAGAAAAATTTTTACCCACTCATTATTCCAATGATAAATATGATTTTAAGTTTATTTTTTAAAATTTAATAGATATTGCTACTGAATTAATGCAACTTGCAACATATATTCGTGTTTTGGTTTTCAACTTATTTTATCCTTTGTTTAAAGTATTATTTTAATTATTTTAATTAGTATTATATATTTAGCTCAAACTATATGTATATATATAGAGAGAAGAGTTCAAAATAACATTTTACGAACTATATAGATAGATATAAATTCAGGGAGCAGGAATTTGATACACAGTTGAATTATTCAAACTTGAAGTAAGACCAGGAGCAGGAGAAGACTAGGAATTGGAGCGAATGCAGATAAATCTTCAGTTTATTTTCGGCAACTGTTTGCGGCTCACACAAGTTGCCACATTAAGTGCCTGTTCCAAAAGCTTTCTTTTAAAGTTTGTAGCGAGAGCTCAGCAGACAGACAGCATCTAGTAGGCAAAGCTGGAAGCAGTGGAATTTCAGGTGAAATCTATTCAGATGAGTTAGTTTTGGTTCTCAAAGCATTTTATGATGGTGAATATTGCTGTAAATTATTATTGGCTGTTAAGATTTTAGTTTGTTTCGATAATTAGAATTAATAGAGTCTATGACATAGATTTTTCTCGAATGACCCAGTGCAATATATAAGTATTTTTAGAATAGGAAGGAAAATTTACTTTGCTAATTTAATAGCTTTCTTTTCTTCATACCCCGCCCCAAGAAGAAAAAGTCATAGTGACAGAGAAGCTTTTTAAAGAAAAAGCTAAAGCACTAGCAATATAATAATAAAAACCTAAATCATAATTTTGATCCGTAAGTATAATTTTATAAATATCATTTTCAAAAATAAGTCTTAATTTTAGAGTCTATTGAATTTTTCAGCATTTAGTTCAAAGTCTTTTGTTGAGATTCAATATTCATAACTTTCAGGAAGGTTCCGGTATCACAGAATATCACAAATAAATCTTTTACAAATCATATTTATAATTAAATGTAATGACATATTATTATGATACTAATTCCTTACTGATAATATTTTTAACACTAGAAATTAATAGAGTAACAATTTCAAAATTTTGGTTTCGCTGTATTATCTTCATTTACAATTCCTGATTTTACAACTGGAAGCCTCTCAATACTGTAAACAAACATATCCTCAATAGGGCTGTTCTCTTGAGTAACAGGGTTTATGAACTGGTGGCCCCGGGTGCTTAGGCAGTTACTCGACAAGGCCTCCGTTCCTTGCATAAGGTAACTGGCCTTAGAAAACTGCACTAATACATTCCACAGTAAAAAAAAAAGTATAATAATATTTAAAAAAAAAATTACACGCACTTATAAAATGAGAGCCTCCAACATTATCTTACATGAAGAGGGTAAAAGAACAACTGTACAGAGTCATTATAAGCCTCGTTTCAGAACCGTAGCCCGACATACACTTACTTAACATACAATCACATAAATTTTACATGCATTACCATATTTCATATTACGTATCGGTAATCATTTTACTTATTTTTATATACACTCATTTTAAATAGTTTTAAAATTGTATTCAAAAATTCAAAAAAATTTCAAAAATACAAAATTTATCTTATAGCCTTCCCTAAAATAGCTAAAATCTAGAATTACTTTTTACTTTTCTAATTATAAGAATTCAATTTCTAAATTATTAAATTATATTTTTTCATATCACAGTGTTACATTTTTTAATATCCAATTTATTAAGAAAAAAATATCAGTTCCAATGATTTAATTATGCAAAAGCAGAAGCAAAAACAATTTTCTGCTACCTACTTTAAGTGTAAATTTAATCCCATAACTGCAAAATATCCTAATTTATTCGCATAAGAGCCATATTAAGATATGCAGTTCGAACCTTGAAAGCACTGGAATGATTTGAAACTTCAGCACTCTGAAAACATTTATTTTACTGTAAACAAACACTGAATTAATTTTGAAAGGCTGGCTCAAGATTTCATTTTTAAGCACTCGCAGCAAATCTATTATTTGATTTTTTTCACATTTTTATATTGCTGTGAATTACATTGCACTTATTAAATGACATATGTGCACATAGATTGGCTAAGCCGTAAATATCTTGAAGATTAGAACATGAAGGCGTTAACTAATTTGCTTTCACAATCATAGCCACAATTTCGATGATAACACTTCTGTCAAGCACACGCACACTCTGATGATTTAAAACACTTTTTTTTCCCTAAACATTTAAGAGATGGCTGTTAGCGTTATCACTTTTGAATTTGCAGGTACTTGAAATCCATTATAAATTTCCGTTATACATGGAAGTTTGAAGAGATGGTTGGTTATTGCAGACATTGTGATGACATTTCCACTGGAATTCCAGCGCACAGGACACGTGTGCTGTCGACTCAGTTGTAATAATTTCAGGAGCAGGAAGAGGAATTTGGACTGCGCAGACGTGCTGATCCAGAATGACTAAGAAATTGAGACGAAGACAAATCTTCAGTTTTATTTTCCGCAACATGCTACGGCTGCACACAAGTCGGCACATTAAATGTGCCTGTTCCAAGAGGCTTACATTTTTGATAATTTTGTAGCAAGAAAGCAGCAGCAGACAGACAGCAGTGTAGCTAGGCCAAAGCGTGGAAAGCAAGTGCGTAATTTTCAGGATGAAATTTATTCGGCTTGGGGTAGTTTTGTTCTAAAGCTTTGATTGGATGTTAATATTGGTAAAATTATTATTGGCTGTTAGAGTTTTAGTTCCGTTTACATCATCAGAATTATGTAAGAGTCCTACGACAGATTTTTCTCGAAAGGACCCAGTGCAAATAGATGTAGCTATTTTTAGAATAGAGAAGGGAAATTTGCGTTGCTAATTTAATAAGATTATTTTTCTTACATGTGTAAGATAAAAAATATGGAAGCAAACTTCTAAATTTAATTCACTATAACCTCTTTTATTTTTTATTTCATTTGGAAACTTCATCGCTCTGTCCTAAAAGTAGCGCTGTAAGTCTAAACCGTGTCATTCAAATTAATCATGCGATCTTGCATAACCCTTAATGCAGATGCCTCATGACCAATCAACAATTTGTAAACCAAAACTAAAAAACTGAAACTTTTGACTCTCTCCCTTCTTTCTGTGAACTGATGTGCCACTTTTGCTTGTGCTTTCCTCTTGGCCACATGCCTTTCTGCAATTATGTGTGCTGTTACTTTTGCTTCTATGGCAATAATATCAAAATTGTAAATGTCTTTAATAGGCATGAGTGGAGTGCCAAGTGGATTGTGGCCACAAGTGAATTTAAATAAATAAAAGGAATTTAATCGGGCTCGACTGCTTCTTCTTCAAAACGGATGGACGCTCTAAGCATCAAGTATCTATGCAATTAGTATTTTTACGCATCTACGTCTCAGTGTTCATTATTTCAATGCCTCCAAAACGTTCTGCCATTACATTTTTTGGGCAATTCTAATTATGAAAAAATCTACACGGGTTTGTTATTCTATATTCACATTGAATTATGGGGAAAGTCCTGTTTCACTGCAAATTTTAATGCAATTTTGTACCGCATTCACGATCAAATCATTCATGTCTTCAGTTTCATTACACACACACATATATATATGTATCTGTAAATATAAATTCTAAATAAAAATAATTAATAGTAAATTAAAAAGGCCTATGACTTGAGCTAAAGCTGCAAAGTAATAAACCAAAAATTCATAATAATTAATAATAAGAAAACTTTCTGAATACCATCTCCAAGGAACAGAAATACAATTTAAAACAA